CGTCCCAAAATACCCCAAAACGTCCCCAAAATGTTCCTGAAATATCCCCAAAATATCCCCAAAATATCCCCAAAATATCCCTGAAATGTCCCTGAAATGTTCCCGAAATATCCCTGAAATGTTCCTGAAATATCCCCAAAATATCCCCAAAATATCCCTGAAATGTTCCTGAAATATCCCCGAAATGTTCCTGAAATGTCCCTGAAATGTTCCTGAAATATCTCCAAAATACCCCAAAACGTCCCCAAAATGTTCCTGAAATATCCCCAAAATATCCCCAAAATGTCCCCAAAATATCCCTGAAATGTCCCTGAAATGTTCCCGAAATATCCCTGAAATGTCCCTGAAATGTTCCTGAAATATCCCCGAAATGTTCCTGAAATATCCCCGAAATGTTCCTGAAATATCCCCAAAATGTCCCCAAAATGTTCCCGAAATATCCCCAAAATATCCCTGAAATGTCCCCAAAATGTCCCCAAAATATCCCTGAAATGTCCCTGAAATATCCCTGAAATGTCCCCAAAATGTCCCCAAAATATCCCTGAAATGTCCCTGAAATATCCCCGAAATGTCCCCGAAATGTTCCCAAAATGTCCCCGAAATGTCCCCGAAATGTTCCCAAAATATCCCCGAAATGTCCCTGAAATATCCCCAAAATATCCCCAAAATGTCCCCGAAATATCCCTGAAATGTCCCCGAAATATCCCCAAAATCTTCCCAAAATATCCCCAAAATATCCCCAAAATATCCCTGAAATATCCCTGAAATGTCCCCGAAATATCCCCAAAATGTCCCTGAAATGTTCCCAAAATATCTCTGAAATATCCCTGAAATATCCCTGAAATGTCCCCAAAATGTCCCCAAAATGTCCCCAAAATGTCCCCGAAATGTCCCCAAAATGTTCCCAAAATATCCCCAAAATATCCCCGAAATATCCCCAAAATATCCCCAAAATGTCCCCGAAATATCCCCAAAATATCTCCAAAATGTCCCCAAAATGTCCCCAAAATGTCCCCAAAATGTTCCCAAAATATCCCCAAAATATCCCCAAAATATCCCCGAAATATCCCTGAAATGTCCCTGAAATATCCCTGAAATGTCCCCGAAATGTCCCTGAAATATCCCTGAAATGTCCCCAAAATGTTCCCAAAACGTCCCTGAAATGTTCCTGAAATATCTCCAAAATGTCCCCAAAATGTTCCCAAAATATCCCCGAAATATCCCTGAAATATCCCCAAAACGTCCCCGAAATGTCCCCGAAATATCCCTGAAATGTCCCTGAAATGTTCCTGAAATATCCCTGAAATGTCCCTGAAATGTTCCTGAAATATCCCTGAAATGTCCCTGAAATGTCCCCAAAATATCCCCAAAATATCCCCAAAATATCCCTGAAATGTCCCCAAAATGTCCCCGAAATATCCCTGAAATGTTCCTGAAATATCCCTGAAATGTTCCTGAAATATCCCCAAAATATCCCCAAAATGTCCCCAAAATATCCCAAAACGTCCCCGAAATGTTCCCGAAATATCCCCGAAATATCCCTGAAATGTCCCCAAAATATCCCCGAAATAGCCCCAAAATATCCCCAAAATGTTCCCAAAATATCCCCGAAATATCCCTGAAATGTCCCCAAAATATCCCAAAAATATCCCTGAAATACCCCAAAATATCCCCAAAATGTTCCTGAAATATCCCCAAAATAACCCCAAAATATCTCTGAAATAGCCCCGAAATATCCCCAAAATGTTCCCACAATGTCCCTGAAATGTCCCTGAAATGTCCCCGAAATCCCCCACAAATCCCCACAAATTCCCAAAAAATTCCCCGAAATCCCCCAAAAATTCCCCAAAAACTCCCAACAATTCCCAAATCCCAAATCCCCCAAAATCCCCCAAAATCCCCGAATCCCGAATTCCCAAATCCCAAAAATCCCAAATCCCCAATCCACAAAAATTCCCAAATCCCGAATCCCCAAATCCCCAAAATCCCGAATTCCCAAATCCCAAAAATCCCAAATCCCAAATCCCAAAATCCCCAAATTCCCAAAAATCCCAAATTCCCAAAAAATTCCCCCAAATCCCCCACAAATTCCCGACAAATTCCCAAAAAATTCCCCAACAATTCCCAAAAATCCC